TTCCTTCCTTCCTTCCCTTCCTTCCTTCCTTCCTTCCTTCCTTCCTTCCTTCCTTCCTTCCCTTTCTTTCTTTCTTCCCCCCTGCCTTCCGTCCTTCCTTTTTCCTCCCTTCCTTCCAGCTTCCTTTCTTTCCTTCCTTCCTTTTTTCCTTCCCGCTTTCTTTCTTTCCTTCCTTTCGTCCTTGCTTCCTTCTTTCCCGCTTTCTTTCTTTCTTTCTTTCTTTCCTTCCTTCCCGCTTTCTTTCTTTCCTTCCTTCCCGCTTTCTTTCTTTCCTTTCTTCCCGCTTTCTTTCTTTCCTTCCTTCCTTTCCGCCTTCCTTCCTTCCTTCCTTTCTTCCTTCCTTCCTTCCTTCCTTCCTTCCTTCCTCCCTCTTTCTTTCTTTCTTTTTTCTTTTTTCTTTCTTTATTTCTTTCTATCTTTCCTTCCTTCCTTCCTTCCTTCCTTCCTTCCTTCCTTCCTTCCTTCCTTCCTTCTTCCCTCCCTTTCTTTCCTTCCTTCCTTCCTTCCTTCCTTCCTTCCTTCTTCCCTCCCGCTTTTTTTCTTTCCTTCGTTGCTTCCTTCCTTTCCGCTTTCTTTCTTTCTTTCTTTCTTTCTTTCTTTCTTTCTTTCTTCCTCCCTGCCTTCCTTCCTTCCTGCTTTCCTTCCTTCCTTCCTTCCTGCTTTCCTTCCTTCCTTCCTTCCTTCCTTCAATTTTATTTTCTAGTACGAAAATAAAGCAAACACCTCTAAGCTTCGAAACGACTCTAGCGAGAGATGAGCATTTGTAAAATACTGTATTTGACCTTTCCGTGTCCTAATTGGTAAAGCACACTTCCTTCAAATGTTTTAACTTTGATTTAAAAAAAGAGGAGTTTAGGTTCGATTCATATCAGGAGGCCTATTTTTTAGCAGGTCTTCTCGATCTGTAAGAACTAATTCTACTGTTTAACAAGTGTACCCATGAACGTATCGTCTATATCGATAAAAAACATCGTCAAATTATATATAATAAGTCGATGAAAGAAATTCGAGAAATAAGAAGACAACAAAAATAATAATGTTGGTATTAAACAGTGATGGCATCCGACAGGTTCGCCCTGGTTAGCTCGAATTGATTCTTAAAATTATAAAAGCTCTTTTTGGATTATCCGAAAATAAGCTCATATTTAAATAGCCGATGTTCTACTTAAAATGTTAATTACGCTAGACTCTTGCGCGCGCTTAGTGAAATTCTAATCGACACACGCCCCCTATCGTTTTGAAGTTGAAAATATGGCAAATCTTCTAATTCTAAATTTGAGAAGTCTTGGATTTTTGACACTTTAGGGATTCAGTTCGAATGTGGCTATGAAACCATAACACAGATGATGACACTAGTGTGAAAAAAGCATCATATTTCTGAACAGAAATATGATAAGAACAGAATTTCACTCTAGAAATATCTTAATAAATAAATGTTTTCTAGTAAATTATCAAAATGCTTTAATTCTTCTTGCTACTGTAATGTTAGGTACCTCCACAAAAATGACCATACCTCAAGTTTAAAATAAATTTAAAAAAATGAAGAAGCGTTCTTGAAGCTTTTAATTTAGTTTTAATTGAAAGCCAAAGAATGAAATATACTATTTCCACTAAGCAAAATACTCTGGTGTATTTAAAACAGAAATTAAATTCATTGGAATCGATTTTCATTGCTTTTTTCAGTAATGTCATCGAAGTCGTCAGTTTTTAAGACATTTACAAACACAAGTTAGTTCTCGGTTCTAAAAGAATTGTAAAAAAAAAAAAAATAACCAAAATTTTGAACGTGCTAGAAAAGATTAAAAATATATTTAAATAATAAAAAATACTTTGGTTTTCCTGTTAATGACAGCATAAATATTTTGGGGCCTTTTATCGTAACGATAGGCTTATTTTCAAAACAATTTTTTGAGCTTTCAATCTAGCTTTAATTAAAAGCCAAAGAATGAAATATACTATTTCCACTAAGCAAAATACTCTGGTGTATTTAAAACAGAAATTATATTGAGTGGAATCGATTTTCATTGCTTTTTCAATAATGTCGCCAAAGTCGTCAGTTTTTGGGACATTTGTAAACAGAAATTAGTTCTCGGTTCTAAAAGTATTGCAAAAAAGAAAACAAGATTTTTAACCAAAATTTCGAACGTGCTAGAAAGGATTAAAAATATATCTAAATAATAAAAAAAATACTTTAGTCTTTCCTTTTAATAAGAGCATAAATATTTTGGGGCCTTTTATCGTAACGGTAGGGTCATTTTCAGAACAATTTTTTGAGGTACCTAATTTAGATAGATCGATAATAGGAGTCGATAGGTTCACTTATCGTCCGGTTCACACTCCTCCCCGATCTTTTGAACAGGAATAGAGGATTATACCTTGTTTCCGGTCTAGTGTCGGGTTTCCGGTTCCTTCTAAAGTCTTTTTACGTTTATTCTTGCTTGGTGTATGTGTGTGTGTGGTGGGGGGTTAAAAAAAATTTCCAAAGCAAAAGCAAACTGTGATCATTTGTAAACTTTATTCAACTGTGTACACCCATAATAATGTGTATAATCGGAATCGATAACACAGATGATGACACTAGAGTAAAAAAGCATCCACCCTTTCTTTTTCTTTTAGTTTTTTGTTTGTTTCTTTCTTTCCTTCCTTCCGTCCTTCCTTCCTTTCTTCCTTCCTGCCTTCAATTTTATTTTCTACTACGAAAATAAAGTAAACATCTATAAACTTCGAAACGACTCTAGCGAAAGATGAGCATTTATAAAATACTGCGTTTTAACTTTTCTTTGTCACCATATCTTGTGTCCTAATTGATAAAATGCACTTGCTTTAAATGTATTTTCCTTGATTAAAAAAAGAAAAAAATCAGGTTCAATTCCTGTCATCAGACTTATTTTGTTTAACAGGTCTCGAATTTAATGTTTACTCCTTGAATATATTGTCTATAATAATAAGAAATACCGTGAGATTATATATATCATAATTAAGTAATTCATCGAGTCTAGAAGAGACCTCAACAGAATGTAGAAAGCACTGGATGGCCGTTTTGCCCGAGAATTGAACCCGTACCGTTACGATACGACGCAAGCGTCATACCAACAGGCCTCGGTGAAGGTAATGAATTTGACTCGATCGAGCGCCGCTCGATCACATATTCCATGGTGTAACACATCCCAGTTTTCCATACCAATAGGCCTGTGCCCCCACGAGCCACGTCTTCTATTCCCAAGCCGCTCCATCCAGAGCATTAGAAGCAGGTTCAAGCAAGGATATACAAGTGATAGAAATTATTAAGAGCCGCTCTTCACAAATTCCGTGGTGTAACTTATTCGACTTTACCTTACCCATATACCCCATATATATATATATATATATATATATATATATATATGACGATCGCAAAAGCGTGAAACACAGGATCACAAACTCATATCCATACAATATATATATATATATATATATATATATATATATAAATATATATATAAATTCATATTTGAGATGGTTTGTTTTTATTCTTAAACAGGAAATTTGTTTTTTTTTTTTTTTTTTACATCTATCGGCCTGAATATTCGAGAAATCTTGTCAGAAAAATGGGCGCCCTCCGGATTCGAACCTGCGTCCCCTAGAACTGTGATTAGATCTGATGCGCCATGATCTCTCGGTCACGTCGGAAATCCTGATCAAACAAAGACGGAATACGGCTTCTGAACACATCTTTCCAAATTCTAAGAATATATATATATGTATGTATATATATATATATATATATATATATATATATATATATATGTGTGTGTGTGTGTGTGTGTGTGTGTGTGTGTGTGTGCTCTGTTTGATTTCCTAACGTGAGAAAAATCCATTTCCTAAAAAGATTGTCTTTAGGATTACTGCACAAATACACAATATATACCAGCTGAAACAGCAAATTTGTCCAAATCTTATAACAGCATCCTACAAACTGTTTAATATGTAATGAAACACTAAACTAAATTAAATTCTTTTTTTCAGGTTTTCAGATAAGATGTATTGACACCATCCTGAATCATTGAATAACATATATATATATATATATATATATATATATATATATATATATATATATATATATATATATTAATTCATGTATCATTAAATAATATATACAAGTTTTGTCTATTTATTTTAAGTAAATTCCTTTCATACTGTCTGATAAGCTTAATAACATTATCGTTGAAAGAAGAAAGAAAAAACACCATATTGGTACATGTTTAAATCCAATGTAACCTTTCGGCTTACATAAACCATTATCAAAGATGCCAATTACTTTTTAATATATCAACCAATACACGGACGATATGATAGTCTGTTTTTGTTGCATGAATATATATATATATATATATATATATATATATATATATATATATATATATATATATATATATATGTGTGTGTGTGTGTGTGTGGTTTGCTCAGTTTGCTGATTCCTCACTAAGTCTGCTTAGAATTGGCTTAGGGTAGATCTGCCACGTCTGAAGCCGTTTTGGTTGTTCTAGAGTACAGTCTCAACCAAAGATTTTAAGCTGTTGAGGAAGCGTTTATGGTACCCCTTGCCAGAAATTGGTATCAGTGAGGTTCCTCTATAGTTGGTTTCTAGAGAGAGGCCTCCCTTTTTTTGTCATGGGAATCATCTGTGATTTGTACCAAATGTTTGGAGATTTGAATATTGAAAAGGCGTGGTTACAAACGTTGAGGAGGTGCTACTGAAAATGCTCCAGATAAAGTCTAGAATGTTGTCGGGATCAAATGCTTTGGAAACTTTGTTTGGTTGCTGTGCTAAACTCACTGATCAAGAAGAGAGAGGTGTCAATCTCTAAATAATCCGAGATTTGAACACTTGGGAGTGTACAGTGCTCAGGAAGCCTCGCTTTTTTTTTTTACCAAGATTGTTTGATCAGTTTTCGAGATATTTTTCGGTGGATCCTTCATTGAATCTGATGGTAGAGAGCCTTTTACAGTTTTTCAGACTAGATGTTGTTGCGTGTTGATGTGCTGTTGTGACACCATTTAGGGTTGCTAAAAGGAGAAAAGAAAAAGGAAAGAAAGAAAAAGAAAGGCGTGAATTAAATTTAGATGATAAAAAGCCATCACGAAAAGGACACTAAGCGGTGTTATTTTTCTGACAAGGAAAAGTGGTAAAATTTTTATTTCCTATTGTCCAGAAGAAAAAAAAAGAAGATACTGGAATTAATCTGATTTATGTTACGGATCGGGTGGAAGTTCCAGGTTGGCCAAATAACCTCAGAGACAGAATTCTAAATAGATAAACATTTAACTGTGTCACGAGAATGCCATTTGGAACTTCCACAGAATTCTAAAGAGATAAAAATTAAATAGGTCATCCGCTGACCGAGAAACAAAAATGTCCGTTGACCACACAAGAGTTGAAAAAAACAAAAGACCAAACCATAGGTTAAGCCTTTGTCGATGGGAAGATATCATTTGGACAAGGCATCTGTTTTGTGTTGAAATTCGGCTATGACAGCGAAACTATTTTATCAGAAATTGGCACCAAGAATGCAAAATACGCCTGATTGACCACCCACTTGATAATTGGCGAAAATTTCGTTGAAGACTTCCATATGAATTCGGCTGTGAATTAGCGAAATTGTTTTATCGGATCAGTGGTTGGCGCCAGGAGAGTGAGTATGTCTAGTTGACCACCCACTTGTTAATTGGCGAAAATTTCGTTGACGACTTCCAGGTAATTCGGTTAAAAGATAAAAAGTCTAGGGTGTGAGTTTCCTCGAAGAGAAGGAAGAAAAGGAAAAGAAAAAGATTTTTTTTTCTTTGAGCAAGATTTTTTTTTAAAAACAAGGCTAGTCTGGCCACACCCACGCTGCTGAGCGCCCATTGGCAGATTGTTAACGAGAGCCAGGCGGAGGTGATCATGTGAGGCAGGAGGGGAGGCCTGCTGGCACCCATTGAGGGGATAGGTGTGAGATGTCACTGTGAGAGAGAGGGAAAACCGTTGACGCCCTCTGAGGTTATGGTGAGATACCAATATGAGAACAGAAGAAGGTGGGAGGACGGAAAAACTTCAAAAAATGGAAAAGAATAAAATTTCCCTGACCGAAAACAAAGAAGTGGATTGTGGGTTTGGAATTATCAAGGAACCTCAAACCCCGACAAGCCCATCCCGGTTTTGGTCGGCGTCCATATAAGCAAAGTCGCAGCGAGCGAAAATCAGTTGGAGTTCGAAGTTCGCAGTTGAAGTTGGTCCCGCCTCGCAGATAGCTGACTTGAAAGATTCACGCAAATTCCGAACTCATCTTCTAATCAAGAACAATTTATTTTTGAAGAACGACTTAGACTCACACCACCAAAACAAGTTTTACGAATTTCGCCTGAAGACACACCAAGAACCAGTTTCTTAAAAGAACAAACAACTTGAGATGTTAAGACTCGCCTAACAAACACAAAGTGTCACGAATCTATATAGCGGTTTGGGAGAAAGACGTAGTCCTATATTCAGCAACCAGATATAAAATATTGTTATCCTTTTTAACACATTTGAACTTTTCGAGTTATTATTTTATTTTCTTTTACACATACTATTGCGATATCGCCCTCGTTCGAACTCGACTTGGAGTACGACCCAGCGACTAATTGATTTCGTCTGCCTAGATCAATTCACAACGTGGGTAGGTTAGACTAGAAATCAAACCAGTTACTTCGGTAACCAGACGTTGGAAGCGAGCTGGGAACGACGAGGCTGATACCGAATCTAACCAGATTCCCATCCGAATCACCAAAAGGTTAGAACGTCACATTTGGGTGCCGCGACCAATACCAAGCCAGTTGGTCGTCACAAGACAGGATAGCACGACTGACGCAGACAGACGGACGTCACGTTTGGAGCAGCGACACCCGGGGCGGGGGGGACGTCACACTGTCATGAAAAGTCATCTATCTTACTGTTAGATTCAGTTCCAAGATAGGCTTCATCAAGTTCCTGTTTGGACATTATCTGCTGTGTCTTCTTTGTCTCAGATGGCGACAGGTGGTAGGATTGTGAGATAGCTCAGAGGTTGGTTCTTGACTCGACCACGCGAGAGGAGTTACTGAATTTTATTCGGCCTCTACTCTTCTCTTTTTGGGAACAAACAAAATGGCTTCGGACGTGGTAGATCTACCCCAAAGCAAATCCTGTGTCTGCACAGATTTACTGAGGAATCCGAACAGAGCAAATTTATATATATATATATATTAAGAAATGGACAAGGTCCGACAATTTATTAAAGACATATTTTATGTTTAACGTTGTTATTTTATAGATACAAGTATTTAAGCAAATGCTCTGTTTATGATAAACAGTATTAAATAACATTTACCGGCCTGAATGTCCGAGAAATTTTCATAGAAAATGTTCGTTCTTTGACAGGATTCGAACCTGCATCCTATACGGAACAGTCATATACGCTGACATATATATATATGACATGGAAAATTGGAGTTTATAAGCAGTAAATTCGACCTTGTCTACCGATTGGTTCTTTGTAGCTTAAGCGGTAAGGCACGTCAATTTCAATGCAATGTCAATCGTTATCTTCTGTCTTCTTAATTCCTCTTCTTTTATTGTCCTTTCCCCTCACTAAAGTCTTCTAATTTCTTTTCATCTTCTTTTTCTTTTCCAGTCAACTTTGAACTTCCAAAATTTCAATGAATGTCAATCGTTATCTTCTGTCTTCTTAATTCCTCTTCTTTTATTGTCCTTTTCCCCTCACTAAAGTCTTCTAATTTCTTTCACTCTTTTTCTTTCCATCAACTTTGATCTCCCAAAATTTCAATGCAATGTCAATCGTTATCTTCTGTCTTCTTAATTATTCTTCTTTTATTGTCCTTTACTAAAGTCTTCTAATTCTCAACTCTTCTTTCTTTCCAAACTTTGATCTTCCAAAATTTCAATGCAATATCAATCGTTATCTTCTGTCTTCTTAATTCCTCTTCTTTTATTGTCCTTTCCCCTCACTAAAGTCTTCTAATTCTCTTTCACTCTTCTTACTTTCCATAACTTTGATCTTCAAAATTTCAATGCAATGTCAATCGTTATCTTCTGTCTTCTCAATTCGTCTTCTTTTATTGTTCTTTCCCCTCACTAAAGTCTTCTAATTCTCTTTTCACTCTTCTTACTTTCCAGTCAACTTTGATCTTCAAAAATTTCAATGCAATGTCAATCGTTATCTTCTGTCTTCTTAATTCCTCTAAGGCACGCCTTTCCCCTCACTAAAAATTCCGTTCTCTTTTCATAGGATTCCAGTCAACTTTGATCTTCAAAAATTTCAATGCAATTTCAATCGTTATCTTCTGTCTTCTTAATTTTTTTAATCCCCTCTCCTTAAATTTTTTTTTCTCATATTCTCTAACAATTAGTAATCTCTTGCATCTTAAATTTATTGCCTTGCTTGTGGTGAAATGATAAAAAGGAAACAGACCAGATGTGATAACAATATTCAAAAGCTTAACTTCGACAATTGGACAAGAACTGGTGTTTCCATTTGATATCGTCATAAACCAATCAAAAATTCACACGTTTAATCATTTAATTCTGCTATACATATTTTCTCTCCTGAATTTATCTTACATATTTATAAGTCTATAATTTATCTAGGCCTTAAATATTGCTGGTCATATTTGTTGTGCTCCTACTATTTATCTAAGGTTCTTGATAAAATCCAAACAAGAATCAAAATATTATTGATCCTGATCTGGCATCTTGACGTCATTTTCCCATCGCTATAATGTTTGCCTTTTGTCTTTTTCTATAAATTTTTCATGGTTTGTCCTGATGAACTTTCCTCTATGGTACCTAGACTTTAAATTTAAATTAGATTGGCGAAGCTTCATCATTTTACTGTTAAAATGGCTAGCTGTAACTCTTTCTATACTTTTTTTTCAAACTTCTTGGTTGTGGAACTCTCTTCCGGGACTTGCCTTATGGTCAACTATTGATGGTGGTTTCCTTCCTGACTTTTAATTTACATAGTGTAGAATGTCAACATCTTGATTATGTCATTGCTTGTCCCTTCCAGTTAGATGTGCTATCCATTTTAGTTGTTGCTGCTTTTGGTAGTCCCCGAGTTATGTGTGTTTTGTTTTTTTGTTATTTGATACAGTTCTTTCGGTTGAATCTCGCGTCATTTCCAATGTTCAAAGAAGAATGATCTTTGCCAAGACCCTGACGCTTCACTCGATCAAAGTCATTTTAACAATTGATCTTAGAAAGTGCTTGTATACAGATGATAGTTTAGATATTTCTGAACGGTTTGGCGCCATGCAAGACATCCATATCAAAATCTCGTTCCGACGAGGCTATTTACGAGACATGACTCAAGTTATCCGGTTGATGTTTTGGTTATGTGGGGGTGTTTGGCGAAACTAACTTTGTCCTATTCTATGTTTTTTCTGATACGCCTCTGATTCCTTGTGAAACAGGGCTGCAAATAACACCTCTCCAATGGACACAGTTCCGGGCGATTCTCCTCGGTTCGGCCCATGTCGTGCCGGCTACCTTCATCTACGTCAACACTTCTGCGCCAAGTCTGTTTTGGTCGACCCACTTTTCGCTTCCTTATGGATTCCAGACAAGGGCCTGTCTGGAATAGTGAAACAGGCTTGTTGAGACCGATCCATCCTCATTTGCATTTCTTGATGTCAAACTTGATTGTTCTGGTCCTTGTCCCACAGTTGGTCGTTGGAGTCGACTTCCGGCCACGTGTTTATATTCCTGAGACATCGGCTGGTAATATCTTAAATTTGTGGGTATTGGTCTTGGTTACCCGTCTTCGAGTTCTGAGCCGTTATTGGTTTTACTTAACGTTGGGGTTGAAGATCATCTTGTTGTAAAGTGAGGAGGGATGTTGATCTCAGATTGTTTTTCAAATGAGTGATATAAATGATTAAAAATATGTCGAAAATCAGGTTCTTTTAAAAATTTTATTTATTTGCAGACGTTTCAAGCATTTCAAAACGTAACGGAAAATTCACTACGTTGAATAGCACAAATTTTAATTAAA